TATATATTTGCTATGCATTTGCTCTATGGCATGATTCAGCAAACATGAGGTCTTCTCACAGCAGAAGGGAAGCAAATCAAAAATAGGAAATTGTACAGTTGCTAGAGCCAGTGTGGGAACCTAGTGAAGTCTCAGTAATACATTGTTCAGGACATCAGAAAGGCAAGGACTTCATTGCACAAGGTAACAATAAAGCTGATTCTGAAAGCCAAGAAAGACAGTACACTCAAAGCTCTGCTGTCACCACTCCAGAGGCTGGTGAGTCAATGCACTGCTGAAGAATGGGAGCACCAAGAAAGACAACCTGGCCACTGCTCTGAGTTTCTTTGTTTTCAAATTGTGGATGTTTAAGCCTAGTGATGAAAAGTTTGATGAACAATATGTAACTTTTAAAATGGTAAAATGTGAACCAGAGGGCTATCCTTTTATGATGCTCTTTGATGCCTGCCCAAAAGAACATTATGGGGGACCTGGGGTAACTTCTGACTGTGGGGAATATTCTAATGAGAAATTATATTGCAAAGAGAAAACACAAGTTTGGATCAATGGTTTCCTTGTTGGATGAGCCACTGGTAATTGTAACAATTGTAAACAAGGTCAATGTAATCCTATATCTATGTATATGCCAGCCCCATGGGATCCTATTTGGCTACAAGGAGTAATATATTTCATTCAGACAAGAAATTAGAAAAGATCTTGAGGAAATTTGAGATGCACTTCAGGCTTTAGAAACCCAACTAGATTCACTGGCCAATGTCATATTACAGAATAGGCATGCTCTCAATTTGCTAACAGCCTAGAAAGGAGGAACTTGCTTATTTCTTAGTGAAGAGTGTTGTTATTATGCTAATAAATCTGGTGTAGTACAAGAATCACTAGACAAACTGAAAGATTAGATCAAGGCTCTTGATGAGGAATTTGGTATAGGAGAGCCATCCTATGGGATTAATTTTACTTGGGCAGGATGAAAAACTTGGATAGGACCTCTTCTGATTCCCCTTCTCATTATAATATTAATATTAATGCTTGGTCCTTGTGTTATTCAATGGATTTCAAGACTTATACAGCAGCATATTGCTGCTGCTCAACACTATCAAATGCTAGTATTAAGGAATACAGATAAGTTAGATAGAACATTATGGATAGAAGATTTATCCCAAAGACAAAGGGAGGAATGATAGAGAAAAGTTTTAAAGTAAGTTTAGTAGATTAGCTATTAAAGTGGTTGTGGAAGCAAAATAGGTAGTGTATTCCTTTAAAAGCTTGCCATAGCCCATTGCTTTTGTTGTTTAAAGTGAAGGTTTTTAGCTCCTTTAATTTGTAGCTCCACTATAGATAACATCTTAGCTCTGAAGAACAAAGTGGCAATCTCTGAACAAACTTGTGATATATGTACTATAACTGTCATGTGTTTAGGACTATAATCAGTGACAGAAACCACCTGTGTTTAACCATTGAGCAGAAATTGGAACTTTATTTACTTAACAAAGACCACTAGGGATGAGATAATGACTAACAAAAGTATAAAAGGTGGCTAACAAAGAATGTGGTGCTCAGACACTAACCAGACCAGTTTCTGGAGGTTCCGCCTGCTTGCAAGTAAAACTTTTATTATTTTACCTGAATTCTGTGTCTCCATGCATTTCTTTCCATGATTCCGGAACACTCCTACAGGCATCAGCTTCCACTGTGAAGGAATGCAGAGCTTCTGAAAGAACAGTCATAGTTGCTGGTCTTCCTGTTGGCCTTTTCAGTGATCAACAATTGGCCACCTTGGTGAAGAATTACTTCCAGGGTATGAAGACTGAGGGTGGAGAAGTTGAAGATGTGATATATCCAACAAGGATCAAGGGAGTTGCATATGTAATGTTCAAAGAAAGAAAAGGTATTTCCAAGTCAGATTTTTGTAATCTTAGAAATATTTCTTCAATGAAATTAAAATTAGATTTGTTAAGCACATCTGCAATCCACACAGCTGCACATCTGGACTAGGAAGGCTGAGACAGGAGGATTTCCAAGAGTTTGAGGATAGTCTGGGGTACACAGTGAGTGCAGGGCCAGCCCGAACTATGTAGCAAGTCCCTGTCTCAAAAACAAAAACAAAAACACCAAAACATTACCTCTTGTTAAAATTATTCATAGGATTAGTATCATTTAAAATAGCTTTAATTATTCTAAGCTGCTCATAGCTGTACAGGTCTCTGTAATCTCAACTACCTAGTGAGTAGGTGGGCTGTGACAGAAGGATCAAAGTTGGAAGCTATCCTAGGTTACTTAGGGAGACCCTGTTACAAAATAAAATTAAAATACAAGGACTAGGTATGTAGATTAGTGGTGTAGTGTTGTTTGCCTAGCATGTGTGAAGTCCTGAATTCAATCTTGATCACCACCAAAAAGCAAAACAAAACTTTTGAATATAAAAGTGGCCAGTACTGTATTAGCAAGAATGTATGAAAATGGCCGACAAGTTTCTGAGGACTTCTTTTTTTCCCAATAGTTTGAATGTGTCGATAGGTTGAGATACAAGTGTTGCAGAAAACTTGTAAAAAGGAGAAAGAAATGAAAAAATCCCTACTTAAATGATAAATAATGATATTGGGAATTTTCAGGTGGCTTCAACAGTATAGCCATACTCCCTGCTTCTTTGCATTGAAACCATCAATCAAAAGTCTATTCTCACATAGTATCCATCTTATTATTGTTCAGGTGGAATTGAGAAATGTGGCTTGGATCTGAGAGCAGAGCCATTCTGCCCCCGCCCAGTGCTGACCTAGGGGAGGGCTTTGGGCCTGCCAGAGCATCCTCACTCCTTCCACCTCAGGCAGGAGTAGCCTTCTGTGCAGATTGGTGGCTGGTAGTGTAAATTGCCAGAAAAAGACCAGTCTCCATGCCAGCCTGTCATAGCAGATTCCACACTATGTGAGCAGAGGAGGAGACCTGGCTCCAGCTGGGGAAGACAGTGCAAAGAAAGATGCAGGAGACTGGGTGACCCGTACATGCGGCTGTCACCATTAGTTAAATTGTTCCTTCTCAGTGGGAATGACTGAGTTTGGTGAGGCTCAGCAGGTGGGCTCCTCATTATGTCTCTAAAGGGATGGTAGTGTTTTTTGGAAGTTAATATTTTATGTGTTGAATTGGCAACACAGAGGGAGAAAGGGCTCATTTCTTTTCTTTTTTGGTACTGGGGATTGAACTTGGGACCTTGTGCTTGTGAGGCAGGTGGTGGTACCACTGAGCTAAATCCCCTGCCCAGGGGTCACTTCTTAGAAAGGGCTCATTCCTTTATTCCCAAATATTTATTGAGTATGTATTATTTGCCAGGGACTACTCTAGGTATTGAGGATACAGCAATAAATGAGATAGGTAAAGTGTTTTCTTTCATGAAATGTACATCTATGGAGGATGACAGAAAAACGTACGTAATACGTTGGTGCTTTATATCTATTTATGCTTGTATATATACAGCAATGTATGAGTGTGATGAAAATGTATACAGAATAGTAGAGGGATCACATATGGCGGATGTTTTAGATAGAGTGGGTAAGAAAGCACTCTTTGTTTTGGAAGTGCTGGGTATCAAATCCAGGGCTCTACACGTGGCAGGTAAGTGCTCTACCAATGAGCCAAACCCCGGCACTGAAATACACTGTGTGGTTGATGTTTGAGCAGAGACTTGAATGAAGTAAGGAGTGATTCATGCAGATAAGGGGAAGAACATTCTAGGCCAAGTGAAGGACTGGGAAAAGTTCCACAAGGGTGAAGTATGCTGAGCATTTAGAATTACAGGGAGGAGGCTTCTGTAGCTGTAGCAGAATGAATAAGTGCAGAGTAAAGCTGTGGTGTGACTGGGAGCTGGGACCAGTCCATGTTAAGAAATTTAAGCATCAAGGCACAGTGTCTGGTTTTATCCTGGGTGAGTTGGAAGCTGTTGGAGGGCTCTGAGTAGAGGACTGAGAAGATGCCTTTTCTTAGGCAGTCTGGTAGCTGTGTGGAGACTAGGATCTCCTTGTCATTGCTGCCTTTGACTGGCTGTAGCCAGGCAGGTGATGATCACTGGTGGGCATTTGGGATTTGCTGGTGGATTAGATGTCATATTCTGAGACAGGGAACACTGGTGTAGAGCACATTCAGGAGGGGACAGTTAGCAATAATTGGGTTTTGGTCCTTGAGAAACCAATTCAGATAATGAAATAGAGTCAGGATTCTGCAAGCTATGCATGTAGAGATGGTATCTAAAGCCAAATTATTGACTTGTCCCTGGTGGTGAGTATAGGCTAACAAAGAAGCTTGAGGCCTGAGGTCTGGGGTATGTCAGTGTCCAGAGAGTGGAAACAGCTGGAGGGTAGGTGAAGGAGACTGAGCAGGTCAGTCAGCAAATTAGAAGGAAAACCAGGGCAGTGTCACACCCTAGACTCACCACAGTGAAGCTTCCTGTGACCAGAATTCATGGAATGGGGGATTTACTTTTTGTTTCTATTCACATATATACTTGTGTGTGGTTTAAAAAATATGATCAGGATCATATTAACTCAAAAGTAAACTTAAATGTGTTAAAGTACAAGGACAAAGTTATTTGAATGTAGAATTTAGAGAAAGAAAAAAACCCAGACTTTCTAAATGACCGAATTGAACACCTATATTTTAAATTAATTATTAGCATATTGTGTCACAAACACTTTTGATGCTAATGTCTCCATGTAGTTGCAAAGAGTGTCACCAGACAAAGGAAACACCATCTAGCAGTGAAGGCTGGACATGCTCAACTCACGGTCTCTCGCTTTAGCGAGAAGGTAAGGCGGGTGGCAGGTATGGTGGTGGGTCCGGGTTCCCTCTCTGCTGTGAAGTCTTTCTTGTGCAGGGAAACACAAAGCACTCTCACCCCATGACTTCTAGGAAAGAAGGTGCAAACTCTAACCTGGCTCAGTGTTTCAATGTTCAAGGCTAAACCTGTTTCGTGAAATTTTGCTTTTGTGTTTCTCTATGTCCCACTTGATCCCCTCAAAGTGACAGTGAGCTCTGTGCTGCCATGGATGATGTTAAGTACCTGCCTAAGGACTTGTTTGGGGGGGGAAACTAGATGAACATTAAAAAGGAGTTTGAAGATGCATGAAAGGTGGGAGAAAGAGGAAGCATTCTGTACTACAAACTTGTACTAATAAAGAAAATGATCTGAAAAAAAATTAAAATTCAGAGTACAGTGGACCCTTAACTTATGGTTCCCAAGGGCTTATGGTGACTCTCAGTTCCTGAGGGCTGGTTATAACTCAAGTTGCTTGTAAGTCAATAAGCTGAGATCTGGGTGTTTACCTGGGTACACAATATAGATAACAAGAGGCAGATGAATCTTCCAATAACCTAATTAACCCAAGCTGTCTGTATGTCAGGGTGGTTGTAATTTGAGGGTCTACTGTACCTGTACTGATTTATATGCTGTATTCTGTAGAAAGCACAGAGTTCTGTGCAACCATCCAAGGAACTTGAAACTGGAGGAGAAAGTGGGAGCTGACTCTACAGGTACCTCTGTCTGTACAGCAGAACAGACCAGTTTATACGTATGGGCTCTGTACCAGACTTTGTTGTAAAACACCATTTTAGGTCTAAAAAGCTTCTGTTTAGGAGAGGGGGTGCTAAGGGACAATGATCTACAAACTGAGCAGCGTGGGATTCTTGCATAGGCTGCTCAGGTGCAAGAAGCCAAAATCTGTATGTGGCTATCAGAGTCTGATTTAGGACAACTGCTGCAGAGTCAGGAAAATGTCAGAAAAAGCATATGTGTTGTCTGCTTCATCAGGGATTGCTGTTTTAATTACTTTTTTTTTTAAACTTTAGGTCTTCAACTCTGTAAAGGCTACCCTTGATCTTTCTGTTTTTCGAAGTCGAATTGTACTAGAAAGCTTGATAATGGACCTGAAAAAGAAAATCCCGAATTTAAGCTTCAGTTCTTTGGAACTCAGTGGAACAATCACCGTGGAAGGATCATTTCTGGCTATCAAGAAGCTCAGCGAGTCTTTGCTATCAAAAGCAAGTTCTGTGTTAGAAAAAAGCACAAATTTTATCAGTGAAGGAAGAAAGTGGAGTAGACAAAGCTTCAAAAGGAGTCTGCAGAGAAGTGATAACTTGGTGGAAACACTGCAGACCTCAGTTCCTGAGACCTCTAGGAGGGGAGAAGTGCTTGTGCTTGACACAGATGTTTTCCTTTACCTGAAACATAAGTGTGGAGTTTATGAAACCAGACTCAACCAATACCATATTCTAAGTCAGGAGAGGGTAGATGGTGAAGTCACCACCATTTGTCTGAAAAATGCTCAAGTTGGTTCTCAGCCAAGCAATGTACAACATATGAGAGAACTCATCGAGGGATTGTCCCAGGCTCTTTCCTTTGAGCTCAGAAAAGAGTCTTTCATTTTTGGAGAAAAGAAAAATATCACAAAAAGAAATATTGAATGGGCCTGTGAACAACTACATTCAAGATTCAGTAAGGTTCTGATTAATTTTTATAGGACACACATTGACATTATAGGATCCTCTTCTGATGTATACCAATTTAAAAATGAAGTTATGAAATTAATAGGGCAAAAGGTTAGTTAATAAAATCTCAGTCGTAGTAATGATAGTAGTTGCTTCCTCTTATTGAGTGGTGACTGTGCCATGCATAATGCTAGCTTGATGAACATTGTCTCATTTCAGCCTAACTGACCATCTTTTATTGTGAGCATGACTATCTTTATGTTGCAGAGGAAGAAACTAGGACTTAGAGAAGTTAGAAATCTTGTCCAAAGTTATTCATCTGACAAGGGTTAATTAAAGCTGGGGTTTAACCCAGTCTAATTAACTACAAAGATAGTATTTAAATAAAACTTTGGAAAAAAACTCACTAAAATTTGAAGAAATCTTATTTTCTCTGCAACTCCAAATTATTAGAAAAAGATAGCCTTGACTTTAATATATAAGCATTTTGGATGATTATTATTATGCCATTGGTAATTTCATAACATTTGCAAAATTTGTGTTCATTCTACATAGAATTAGAATGTTGGCAAAAATCACTTGCATTTTTGATACTACTTATTTAGCCTATGTGCTTACCTAAAAATGTTAGCTCTTCTGTTATAATTTGAGAACTCTTGAAAGAAATCTATAGAGTTGCTATAACATGCTCCTTCTATAATGGGGTTACATCCAGATAGGCTCAGATAGGCTTTGTTTTTTTTGTTTTTTGTACTGAGAATTGAACTCAGGACCTCGCACTTGTGAGGCAGGTGGTGGAACCACTGAACTAAATCCCTGACAGGCTTTGTAAGCTGAAAATATTTTAAATTAAAAATGTGTTTAGTACATGTAACTTACTGAATGTCCTAGGTTAGCAACACAGCCCACCATAAAATATGGGCTGTTTATCCTTGTGGTCAAGTGGCTGACAGAGCCGAGACTCCTGCCACTGCTCAGTGTCATGAGAGACACAGCACATTCGTAGCCTGGGTAAAGATCAGAATACCAAATTTAAAGTATAGTTTCTACTGCAATATACATGCAGTAGAAACTATACTTTATTGCTTTTGCACCATTATAAACTCAGAAATTCATAGAAAAATTGAATTGTAAGTTGACTAATAGTCAAGCCAAGGGGCATCTGTGTTCTTAACATTGTGCATTTATTCAAATACTGTTACTATAGCAATGCAATTTGAAAACAAGGAAAATAGAAAAAAACTCACAATAATTTACATCAAAATCTATGCTTGGAATTTAGCTTCAGATTAAACTGATTTTAAGTATGTGAGGTACTCCAGAGTTCTCCCTAGTTTAATAAATACTGTAATTTATTTGGCCTCTCTGCTTATAGAAAATGCTAGTTCTCCTGTTATAATTATGAGAACTTTTGAAAGAAATCTATCTCAAGTAAACATATATGATTATGATTAACTGAATTGTTTGTGTCAGTAGAAAAGCATATGACAAACCTGTCTGTTGCATTCAGTTTTCCTAGCTACCTAAAACTAAAATATGTAAATAATTTCTATTTCCATTTCCTTAAATAGTGTATTTCTGACCCCAAAAACACAAGCAACGAAAGCAGAAATTGACTAATGGTCTTATATCAAACTTAAACACTTCGTGCATCAAAGGATCTGATCAGCAGAGTAAAAATAGAGCTGTTTCATTCAGGTCAAGCTGCTATTACAGGAATCTCACTGGGTGACTGAAGCAGCAGACGTTTATTTATCACAGTTCTGGAGGCTGGAAGTCTTGAGAGGAAGGTTCAGCCAGGACTGGGTCATGGTGAGGGCCCTGTTCCTGGAGAAGGCTAGAGAAAGGAAAGGAGAAGGGGAGCTTTCTCCTGCTACTAATTCTGAGAAGGCAACTAATCCTATCATAAAGGCTCTTCCCTATTGACTTAGTTACCTCCCCAGGTTTCCGCATAGGAATCGTGGGAACCCACAGACATTTGGTCCATGATATTGTTTCCCTGACTCCAAAATTCATGTCCTTCTCAAGTGCCCCCATACATCCATTCCATCCCTACTGTAAGACTGAACAACAGTTACTCCATCTTTGTAATAGGGCCCCAACTTTTTGTTTCTGTTACGGATCAACAGGTAGACATCGAGTTCCAGGGATGTGCTTGTTGTTGTGCCAGGAAGGTCTGTTGTGTGCGTAGTGTTCCGTCATGCTCTCCCAACTCCATATCTGAATATGTTATCTTAAGGACAATCTGTAAAAGGTCTGTTTTATCTCTCTCCTCCGCTTTTGTATTTCTGCTTGCCAACTTCCCCTGAGACCCCCTATAAAAACAGCTTCGGACTCTGAGCCAGTTGCCTCTCTAAGCTACTTTGCTTTGGGAGTGCCATCTGGCCAGACTAATAAAGGTCTGTTTTACTTTCCAACTTGTCTGGTGTGTTCCTTCCCGGGTGTTCTTCACTGCAGCCAGCTCCTCAGAGCATTTGGTAAGGCCCTCGGTCTTACACAACAGCCCCAGACATCATGTCTAATAAAGTCTAACATCTAAAGCTTCATCTGAATCAGGTGTGAGTGAGACTCAAGTACAATTCAGTCTGGCAAAATTCCTGTTCTAAAAGGGAGGAAAAGAAGAGAAGGAAGAGCCAAACAGGTTCAAACTTGGCAAGGCAAACTGCGTGAGATCTTAAAGCTAGAAAATAATTTTCAGTTTATTCCTCTGTGCTTCAGGCCTCCTGGGGCCACCACATACAAACAACCCTTCACCAAAGAGCAAACTTGGCAGTGACTTGATCTTGGGTTTCTGGCTTCCAGAACAGTGAGGAACACATTTCTGCTGCGTGTTAGCCATCTGGTGTGGTGTTTTGTTATAGCACTCTACACAGTCTATAGCAGACTAGGACAGAGGCAGAGAGCACAGTGAGATAGCTACAAACCAGGGAACAGCAAAGGTTGCTGGGAACCACCAGGATCTGGAAGAGCCAAGAAAAGAGGTGTGTCTGCTGACACCTTGATTTTTTGGACTATGGTTTCTAGAACTGTGAGAGAATAAATTTCTGCTGTTTTAAACCACCAAATTTGTGATAGTTTATGTGGCAGCCCTAGGAAACGAATAGAGCTGGCTTTCCACATATCCCTGGGGGCCTCCACCCTTACAGATGGTTTTGGGTGTGAGCCTCTGTTGGACACGCCTGCGTCTCCCTTCTTCTTGAGGTCGGGGATTTTTCTTTTTCTATCTTACCTATCCCCAGTTCATAACAGAGCACCTGGCATATGGTTGGCATTCCACAAATACTTTTGAAATATATGAACAAATTTTATAATTTAATACAGGGCCTAGTACTAGATAAGCATCTAACAAATGTGTGTTCATTGGTCAGGAATTCTGTCTTTTTTGTGTTATCTAGTCTTTCTCCTTGTCAACATAATAATACAGATATTAGTTTCTTACTCCCTTATTGAAATGTATGTACATTTCCTACTTGCATTATTTTCTCCAATGTAGGAAATTCTATAGAGACTATTTCTTCTACTCTTGTCAAACAGGTGGGCCAGTAATGATTTCTGGTGGAAGAGCACAAGCCATCTTCCCTAGACTTGCTTGGAGTGGCTCTCCATTTGCCTGTCTCTTGGCTAGGTTTCACAGTGAGACAAAAATACCTTGTGATTTAATTTGATAATTATGAAGATTTTCTGGGCCTGTCTCCTATGGTCTCTGGTCATTGTCAGTTGTAAGAGGCTGTTCAGGAATTCATAAAGCCTGTAAGCAATCTATCTGTCCATTAATGCTTGATATATTAAAATGTTTTGATCAACAGAAAAATAATATATAGTATGCATGAGTGTGTTAAGACGGTCCTGGAGTTAATATATTTCTAGCAATGGTGACAAAAGCAATAGGGGCAGAATATGTTGCCATTTGGCTTTTTACAAAATTCAACATTGGAGGAGCTAGGCCTTATTTATTTATTTATTCATTTGTTATTTATTTTGAAGAGTAGAGAGATATTTATTGGTAGGAAAGCTCGGGAGGGCTAGGAGGGGGCCTGAGTGGGTAGCCTGGGGATTCCACTTTCCAGAAGAGTTTACTAGGCTGAAACCCATGTGAGTGCAGTACGGGCCACAGCATGAACATCCAGTAAGGTTACAAGTGTAGTCACTCAGACAATAGCAGTCCACCTGAGAAACAAGTCACGTAACCAGTATGGATGGAAAGAACAAGGACTCTCCTAGGAAATGGTGGGTCCAGAGGTCTCTGGTCATCCGCTGGGGTGGGGGTTAATGCCTATCTAGACTTCATTAGGTCTAATTTATTTTAGGGATTTAGATGTTATAAAAATAATAAAGAACAGAGACCTCCAGAGGTGGATGAGAAGAATTATATAATATTTCCCTAAGTTTTTTGGAAGAAATCTGTTTAAAATAAATAATAAGCAATTTCATGAGAAGAATAAAAGGTAAACATGTAAGGAAGTAACATTTTCCAGGGATGTATGTGTAGGTTGTGAGGAATGGAGTGACTTGCTTCTGGTGATGATAGTTATTTATGGGTTAACTGTCTAAACTTTATTAAAAATACCTACTCTTCTTCCTAAGAGTGAAAATGCCACATTTTTCTTCTCTCATTGTACAAACTGCCCAGCATTTTAGATTTTGTTACCTGACCATCCCTTGTATGTGCTTCTTCTTTTCCATCCTCTGCAACACTGATTAGTGCATCTTTGTGTTACTGCTGTATTCTCATCGGCCTTCCTGGCCCAGCTGTACCCACTCCCACATGCTTAATTCACCCTGTGCACCATCAGAAATGAATGTGTCTGCAATGATTAGATGTATTTGGAAGGGTTAAACAGACTGGCTGGTGTTAATTGTTCTACCCTGAAAACTCATGGCAGCATTTATTCTTATATTTTCTGAATATGTGTTTTCTGAAAGGTATGGTTTACTCATATCACTGGTTAGGGTTCCACAGAGGCCTCTCTGAAGAGGAGATGGGGACCTCAAATTGGACTGGGCAGGGTCTTGACTTTCCTCACAGAAAAGAATGTGGGATGCATCAGTGAGAGGCATCCATTTAGTAGGCAGAGTTAGTAAGCAAGGGGAAGAGACATCAGCTTGAGCTGAAGGTGGAACAGCTCTGATGAAAATCAGATTGGC